GGGGGGGGGGGGGGGGGGGGGGGGCGTACTCTTATGTTCTGCATGCTTTAGCGGTTAGACCATTGACCACGCGTCCTCGAGAGGACGAAGCGTTGTTCCCACAGGACCGCTCACCGATGTCCAATCGTTCCTTCCTGCTTTGCCAGAGGTGGCTCAGGGGGGGGGCTGTGGATTTGGCGCCAAGAGCGCACTGCTGTGCAGGTGGCTCATCCATCGTTTCGAGTGTGCGTTTTTTGGGGTTATGCAGGCTGTGCGTATGCTCCCTTTTTCCATTGAACGAAATTACATCCGTTTCCCGTTAACTAAACTCCCTGCTGCTGTTCGTGTGCGTCGTGCAATCGTGCTTTGTCCTCTCGCAACGGCCGCTGCGGCGGCGACTCGACGAAACAGATGGCGATGCTAGAGGCCCAGATTCGCGCCTCTATCTCGAACGTGAACAGCATGTTCGCCGCCGGTCCTCCTAAGGTGCCCCCTGCTGTCGCGGCCGGGGTCGCAGCGGCCAACGGCGGTACCGCCTCCGCGTTGCCCAAGAAGGCCCAGGACCACACCCTCAGGTGCGCTTTTTTGGGACGGGCGCGCTTCCCACAGCCATGCTGGTGTGCTGTAGTCAAACCTGGGTAGCTGTTGGCGTCGCCGTCGTCGTCGGTGGTGCCGTTTACTGTTGTTGGCTTGGCCTGAACACCCGGTCGGACCCTCTGCCCGGTGCTCCCCGTTCCGTACCGTTCCACAAACTGTGGAGGCGTTTGCCTTCGTTTACCGCCAACCGAGGTTGCTGTTGCCACGGCTTTTGCCGTCTTACTGCAGTGTTGTTTTTGGCGCCGAGTGCATGCTTCCCTCGAACACCTCACTGGGTGCCCACCCGTCAATCCTAAGCCTGGCTTGTGCTGCCCTCTTTGTTTTCTGCTGTCTACCACCGGTAGCCTGTTGTAGCTCCTCCGGTGTGTACCCCGCGGGTAGTTGTGCCTCACCTGAATCACAACGTTGACGAGCACAGACATTTATCCCTGCATCGCTTCTCATACTTCTCTCTCTGTCTCTCTCTGTCTCTCTCTGTCTCTCTCTCTCTCTTTCTCTGTGTCCATGTATCACGGCGTATCCCTCTCACACCATTGGAATGAAACCGTCACGCCAATCGTCAACGTCTTCTAGACTGGACGCCAAAGGCCGGCAGGTGGACGCAGACGGCAAGGTAGTCAAGATGGGGCCGGTGCTGACCATCAAGGCGAACCGCCTGGGGAGCAAGGCCCACAACCCGTACCTGCAGCACAGAACGGTAAAAGCCAGGTGGTGGTTTGGCGGTTAGCCTTCCGGTCCGGGATCGGATAACCGTAGGGTTCCCGTACCGTTTCGGGTTGTGGGATGTGTATTGCTTTGCCGGCTTGCGGATAGCTTGCGGGATGGGTTACAGAATGGTGGGTTTGTATTGTGCGGTCGTGTCGCATGAAGCTTTTACTCCCTGATAAGAGAACAACGATGATATGTGAAACCGTTTGAGAATCATTTCAAATATATGTACTGAAGGATGTTGTTTTGCCTTTGCCGGGTCATGTTAGAATCGACGACGTGTGTTGTACTTGTTGTGCAGGTGGAAGACACGGACGCCGCCCAGGCGGTGGATCCCCGGGTTCAGACGGGCAACCGCGACAAGAGGGCCAAGCGAGCCTTCAATTTCGTGGAGGAGGGAACCTACATCAAGCAGGTGCAGTACAGAGCGGATTTAGACATTGGCCAAATGGTGCGGGTGAGGGTGGGGGCGGGGGCTTACTCTTATGTTTTGCATGCCGTAGCTGGTAGACAGACCGTTGACCACGCGTCCTCCTCGAGAGGACGGAGCAGGTGGGAGGGGGGGGGGGAGGGGGCATTTTTTGTCTTTGTACACCTGTATCGGCGTTATTCTTTTGGTGCTCATATACGCCGTTTTGACGCACTCTCTTTCTGTATTGGTGTAGATACCCTTGTTTTGAGAGGTGTGCCTTGCCCACTCTCAACCTTGCATCCAGCAAATTTTTGCTTGGGCCGGGGGGGGGAGGGGGGGGGGGGGGGG